TCCACGTATGGTTGGAAAAGTTAATGCACCAACAAGATGACTCAGCAAGGATGCTGTGAGGTGGTGATCCAGTGTTATAGAGCTCACATTTTCACAGAGGGCTCCATGTACCAGTTGTAGCTATGTGAAGAATGCTTGATTTTTAGTTCCATTGTACTGTTGGATTTTGTTAAAATCATTACCATGTTTTTCACATTGAATTTGTTATTATTCCCATACATTCCTTTTATGATTGCAAAAACAATACTTGGAAGTTCCATGGCCCTATTGCTAAAAGCACGAATTTAAATTATAAACATTGACTTATGAAATGGCTTCCATCAGCTATTTTGCCATTGTTTCAAAATAGACAATCCTTTGAATCAAGATTCATGTGTGTGGGGGCAGTGAGAGTGAGGTGGACGGAGAAGGAGAGGGCAAAGGAGGAAAGAAGGAGAGAGAGTAAAGGAGACACCTGCACATACTCAGAATGTTAGAATAATTAGATAAGATTTGACTTGCTACAACCATTACTACCAAAAAAGTAACAAATTCAAGCCAATAATCAGCTCAATGCCCCCCAAAACTGCAAGTTTGGTTAGTCCACTACATGAAAGACGTGGAAAATTAGGCACACTGCAAAAACTTACAGCCTCTAATTGCTCTCAGCAGAAATCTAACCACTCTTGGGTTTGAGTAAAACCCTTATTAGTGAGAAATTGCTTTTGTGGCTTCTTTCACCAAATTCTGTGATCCTCTACTTTCCACCACACAGGAGCAAACATCACAGGGAATTCTTTGGACATCTAATTCCCAGTTTTCTCATGAAGTCACCAGAAAGGCACACACACACAGCTAGGACTCCCCTAGGCGAGGAAATGGAATTTTGAACACCACAAACTCACACTGGCCAATGAGCTTTTAAAATGTTCTTTGATTAAACCCACATTTACACGACACCTCAAAAGGTACCTAACTCATGCCTTGAAGACGGTGAGATAATGCATGTATCCTACAAAACACCATGTTGTGTACATCATGATTTTGTAGCCCACCATTAGTAGTAAATGTTCTGAGTGGGTGGGACCACACCAAACACTTGTCTGTCCCAATGGCTTGTACCTCCTTCATCAGCTTCTCCATATAACGATACTGGGTTCAGTGCCATAAGTATGCACTTTGTGCAGTTCACTCGGTGTTTTGTGATACATTATTGATGGTATTTACACTTCTGGATTTAAAAGTTCACAGCTAAAACATAGAACCCTTCTAAAACAGGGCAAATTTTATTTATTTAATAGTCCTGACTGGTTTTATTTTACTTATTTTTCTTTTTTAAGGAATTTATCAATATGTTAGATTCTCAGGAACACCACAAATGCATGATAATTACTGTAATACAATTCAAATAAACTCTGATGCTAATGTTAATATTAATACAAAGAGATATGCTCCATGTTCTTCATAGATGCAATTCTCTTTTTTTAAGATTTATTTATTTATTGGAAAGTCAGATATACAGAGAAGAGGAGAGACAGAGAGGAAGATCTTCCGTCTGATGATTCACTCCCCAAGTGGCTGCAATGGCCGATGCTATGCTGATCCAAAGCCAGGAGCCAGGATCTTCTTCCGAGTATCCCACACAGGTGCAGGATCCCAAAGTTTTGGGCCGTCCTCGATTGCTTTCCCAGGCCACAAGCAGGGAGCTGGAAGGGAAGTGGAGCTGCTGGTATTAGAACCGGCGCCCATATGGGATCCTGGCGTGTTCAAGGCAAGGACCTTAGCCGCTAGGCCACACCACCAGGCCCCATAGATGCAATTCTAATATGGTAATTCGCTTTCTCCCTTCCTTTTCCTTTCCTTTCCTTTCCTTTCTTTTCCTTTCCTTTCCTTTCCTTTCCTTTCCTTTCCTTTCCTTTCCTTTCCTTTCCTTTCCTTTCCGTTCCTTCCTTCCTTCCTTCCTTTTCTTCCCTCTTTCATTTCTTACCCAAAGCTTGACTTGTTCTCGAAATGATTTGTTACCAATGTAGATACATTAATAGTGCAGAGAGTAGGATCAAGAGAATGGGAAAGTTGTATATGAAACCGTGTAGGGGAAAAGTGGCATATGAGGAACCTAAAAATGCTTTTCCTTAATGTAAGTGCCACTAAGTTTCAATGAATCAAATTATATATTAGATAATGTTCTACTCTAGAGGGAAAAAAAAGTGGTTTCTTTATTTTGCCAAATAAATATACCATCCAAAGCACTTCACCTTTAACTCACACAGGAGTCTATTCTAAGTACCCAAGCATTATGTGCTTACAGACGTGGTATCAAGGTCACAGGTGAATAACCTGTAGCAAGTAGCTTCAGCACTTGCTACAGGTTATGTCACAGGAGCTAACTGGAGGAAAGAGATTGGCCTAGTAACAGATTAGAGTTATGAACAGGCAAAGCAAAACTCCTTTGGGACTGATTGTGTAAACTCTCCTGGATGCTCTAGGCTGCTGAAATGTCTGAGAAGAAAATGGGGCGAAACAGCCCACTCTGTTTCTCCAAACGTGTATCAGTATCACATCCTGACCCAAGTAGTGACGTTTATTAGTGTACCTCTTAACAAGATAAATTGTTTGAATGATAAATAGACATTTGCCATTTAGAAGAGATGCTGACTCTTCTGATACAATTTTTTGAAAGATTTATTCATTTTTCTTAGAAATACGGATTTACAGAGAGAAGGAAAGAAAGATCTTTCATCCACTGGTTCATTCCCCAAGTGGTCTCAATGGCCACAGTTGAGCTGATCCAAAGCCAAGAGCTTCTTCTGGGTCTCCCATGCAGGTACAGGGTCCTGAGGCTTTGGGCCAACCTCTGGTGCTTTCCCAGGCCATAAGCAAATATCTGGATGGTAAGTGTGCCATCTGGGTCATGAGCCCATATGGGACCATGACATGGTCATGGCAAGGACCTTAGCCACTAGACCATCATGCTAGACTCTCCATGCATACAATTTTAAAGCTTATGAAACTGTAGATTAATTTATGGTCTCATCAGTTTTAATTTTTGGTGAAGGACAAAGTGAGAATATTGTTCTCTATTTGTATCATTCTGCAACTTGCATAGTTCCTAATCAAAAGAGTGTAGTACAACCATTTGCAAGTATGGTGTCAAGGGGTTTACAAAATACAAAATGTGTATCTCAGCAGTGACAAGATCTGACTGCCTAAGAATTGTTTGCATAGGAAAAATGTTAAACATAAGTGGTAAAATAGGGACTGGCATTGTGGCATAATGTGTAAGGCCACTGTATGCAGCAACAGCATCCAATATGGGCAACAGCTGCCATCCCAATTGCTCCACTTCCACTCTAAATCCCTGCTAAAAGCCTAGGAAAGCAGTGAAAAATGCCCCAAGTTGTTGGACCCCTGCTACTCTTGTGGGAAACCTGGATGATGAAGTTTCTGGTTCCTGTCTTCTGCCTGGCCATCAGGGCCACTTGGGTAGTAAACCACCATATGGAATGTCTTTCTCTCTCTCTCTCTCTCTTTCCCCCAGTGCCCCTTTCTTTTTACGACTCTGACTGAGAGTTATTTGAAATAACAGAATAGATATTATAAAAAGTAAATGAATTGGTGATAAAAGTGGTTGTGAATAGCATGGGTTAAGAAAGCTAGCGAATAAAAGTTTATTAAAAAAACATTCAACTGTGATAAAGATCTTTATGTCATTTTAAAATATATATTTATTTATGTAAAAGGCAGAGTACAGTGGGGGGAGTGGGGGTGGCAGGAGATCTCCTATCCTCTGGTTCACTCGCCAAATGGCTGCAAGAGCTAAGATTAAGCAAGCTGAAATGGGAGTCAGGAACTCCATCCGTCTCCTACATGGTATCCAGGACTCAAGTACTTGACCCATCATCACTACCTTTCCTCATGTATTAGCAGATAGCTGGAATGGAACTGAAGCAGACAGAATTCAAACAGGAATTCAGTGGAAGTTGTAAGCCTCCCAAGCTGTGGTTTAACTGACTGTACCACATAGCTCACTTCAAAATCTTTACACTTTTCAAAGATCTCATTATCTGCCTGATCTCATAAAGTAGGAAATCTTGCTAGACTTGTTCAGAAACTTGAAGTCAATTACAAAGTACCCAAAATTGCTGCTCTAGCAACCCAGAATGTTAATTTTTAGCAGTGATTCTACGATAGGCAGTTGCGGCTGTTATGCAATAAGTGAAATTCTGTGAAGAGATAGATCATAATCACTTGTAGCAACACTGAATGTTGAGAGTTGGGGAACTTGGGGATATGGGTGTGTCTGAGAAATGTGAGCTATGGAATCAGGAACCTGGGGCAAACAGACACAGGTGGAAACGATGAGTCCTTGGCACTGCAACACTCCTGCTTCTCAAGGGCAGGCACAGAACTCTAGCAATCACACTGCTCCTCTGGCAGTCCCCAGTAAACCTTACTTGAAAAGTAAACTCCAAGAAACAGACACTAAATTTTATAGGGACCTAGTATTATATTTGAAAGAGTTACAAAGAGAAGAAAAGACACAGAGAGGGAGATCTTGAACCTACTGGCTCACTCTACAAATGGCTGCAGAAGCTGGAACTAAACCAATCCAAAGCTAGGAATTGGGGTCTTCTTCTGGGTCTTTTGCATGGTTGCAGGTACCGAAGGGCTTAGCCATCCTCCACTACTGTTCCAATTCATAAGCAGAGCTGAATCAGAAGTGAAGCAGCTAGGATGCCAACTGGACCATATGGGATGCTGGCTCCACCAGCCCTCAGAAAGGTGTATTTTAATATGTTAGGGTCAGCATTCACCTCCCTTCCAATAAATCCTGCTTCCTCCGAGTTTTCAGAGCTATGTGTTCCAGAGTCATATCCATAGCAAATACTGCTCACGAAGTCTCCCAACTTAGCTCCTTTCCATGAAGCTCTTTGATTCTATTATTAAGAAGTTTTCCAAAGCTTCATTGTGCTTGTTCTGCTCTCTGCCATATTGAACCGTTGTCTCCTTATCCACCCTAGGTGGTTCGAGATCAGATCTCTCACTGCACTGTGAAACTGCGCCAGACCACAGGCCTCATGGAGTACTGTCTGGAGGTGATTAAGGAAAATGATCCTAGTGGCTTTTTGCAGGTGGGTATAACTCATTTCTGCCTTGTCTTCTAAGTGTCCCATGCAACTGAATCTCAACCCCCCAGGAAGGGCTTCCAATGGCCCTGTATTGGTAACAGACCTTTATCAGTGGGTGGGTGCTTGCTGAATAAATTCCACTGCCTTTCTGGAAGTGCCTCTTACGTATACTGCAAAACTGAGAATACATGGACTGTGTTTGTTTTGTCCCTGTATTCAAGCTCCTCCAAAGGTAATGCCTTGCAAGAACTTGAGTTTTTCTCCAATAATGTCCCTTGGATAGTTTTATCAGCTGGAAGTGTACAACTATACAAGGTTTTTATTTTCTTTGCTACCTCCCACTGGCCAGCAAGTCCGTGACTTCTCAGATGTAATGAAGGTTTTTGTTGTTGTTGTTGTTGTTCTTAGTGTCATTTTAGAAGGATGCAATAATCTAAGCCAAATTTTGCTTAATTTTTATCCTTGTAAATATCTTCCAACTCACATACTGATAAACTAGTTTAGATGACAGAGACCAAATATTAAAAAAAAGTTGTCAACAAAAGAAGAAAATGATAATCACATAAAGATTATGCACTGAATATATAAGAAAATCTATATGCAGTCTCTTTAAACTGTTTTATAAAACCTGTTTGCAAGTCTTAATGAGATATCCACAGCTAAAATTAGATACTGTTCATTCTTATTAGAGTAAGTGGTCACCACTGTATCATTATTTGAAGTTGTTGTCTTTTACTGATGATGAGCACGATGCTATATGCAGGTTTGTTTGTTAGACCAATGAACATCTGCTGTTTATTTAGAGTTGCTCCTAACTCATAAACACGCTCAGATATGCTGCCTAAGGCATGGATCACCTTTGTGGTGATAGAACCTTTCTCAACAGCTGCATTGCAGCAGGAAGAGCAGGAGCCCCAAGGAGGTTTGGGGGTGACACACCCCAGGGTCAATATGCAGCATTATGTAGGAGTGTGGTGTTGTATTTCTTAGGCTGTGATCTTTGATGTGATTAGATCTCTGACGCCCTCATAAGGAGAGTGCACCTGACTGAGGACCAGTGGGGGAAAGGCACCCTTACTCCCAGGATGACCACCGACTTCGACCTGAGTCTGGACAACAGTCCTCTGCTACAGTCCATTCACCAGCTCGACTTCGTGCAGGTGAAAGGTACGTGCTAGATCCCTGGGTCAGGCAACAGCAGCCCAAGGAGATACTGGTGCTTGAGGCAGGTTCAGTGTACCCGGGTTAATGTCACAAAACCCTGGAGTAGCTTGGATGTGACCTTCCTCTGAGCAAATCATATAAACTCAGTGCTTGCCTGTTAGAGAGTCTTAGAGATGTCAGGGAATAGCAAAAATTATCCAGAACATACATTATTCAACGCAATTATTTATGAAATTAATAATGAGACTGAATGATCTCATCTATCTTTTCAATACTTCATCTTAATTTACTTTACTTTTATTATCACTCTGCCAAGTTAATTTATATGCTCTGCTTTGCACTAAATTAATTAATTCAGTAAGAGCACATTTGTTTTCAGAAGCTGAGTGTTTATGTGTCAGCTGCATGTGGTGGAAGGAAAAGTCAAAAGTTAAGATGCAGTAGGGCCCGATTGGCCGTCATTGACATTTCTCCTACTGTCCCCTGTCATATCTGTTAACACAAAATATAGCTCTTCCTGGCGGAATGTTCTTGTCATTTTGTAAAAGATACTTCAATAATCTGTACTTTCACAGTGTGTCCATAAAAATTATCTCAAAAAAAAAAAAAAGATAACCATAGGGTTCAGTGCAGTGGCCTAGTGGCTGAAGTGCTCACTTTGAATGCGCCAGGATCCCATATGGGCACCAGTTCTAATCCCGACAGCCCCGCTTCCCATCTAGCTCCCTGCTTGTGGCCTGGGAAAGCAGTCAAGGACAGCCCAAAACCTTGGGACCCTGCACCTGTGTGGGAGACCTGGAGGAGGTTCCTGGCTCCTGACTTTGGACTGTCTCAGCTCCAGCCATTGCGGCCACTTGGGGAGTGAATCATCAAATGGAAGATCTTCCTCTCTGTTTCTCCTCCTTTCTGTATATCTGACTTGGCAATAAAAATAAATAAACCTTTTTTAAAAATGTAAAATCCACTATATATATGGCCAAAATTAAGGCACGTCTGAGCTGATATTAAAGCAGTCTGACATGGTGAAACTAACAATGTATATGCTTAATTTTTGTTCTAAAAGTGTGCCAAGTAGATGGAAATGGAAAGTTAAATATTTTCAAAGTTACTTAAAATATGCATTTGAAATTACATTGCAAAATGGTAACCAAAATAGGAGGCCACTTAAAAATTATGAGAAAATGATATTTATTTTCTGATAGAAAATTTAATTCACACATATGAGAGTTTTTTAAATGTTCATAGAAATATGTATGATTAAAAATCTACGTGTATATTTTAACATGCTTTTACATAAAGTTATCTTTTACTTTGCTCTTCTGGAAGCCTTTTGAAATATTCCCATAACTTCATTGTTTTGGCTCACAGTTTTAATATTCCATTTCTCTAGTCTTGAAATTTCACTAGAGATAATTTTATTGTTGTTATTGTTGATTCTCAAAGTCTGCAGTTGGGTTTTCACAGTTCCTTTAGACAGTGAGAAGACAGTGCCTAAAAGTCATTCTCTTATTAGCTAAAAGTTGAGCTGGTTTGCTCTTGCTGACTCCACATCCACTTTCCCCACAAGCAATTGTGATCGCTGTGGAGTGCTGGTACTTTCTTCATTCAAGAACACCTAAATTGTAATGACATGTGTTCTGTTGAGTGGAAAACCATCTTACAACTCTTTCCATATTTCCTCATTTCCAGATTGGTGTTTGAGGTTTCAGAGTTGTCTTTTATGGAAAAACAAAGTATTAAATTCATCTTTTGTTTTTGTTCAAGAGTGATAGAAACATTTTCCCTCATAGTTTTAGGTTGGTATTAGCAGCTTTCCCAGATCATAGAAAGGAAATTGTAAGAGTCTTCTCCTACTCTGCCAGGGCTCTGCTTCTAGGTTAAGAACAGATTTCAGACACCTGATCCATTCTGGATTAACATACCCAAGAGTCATCTAAATACAGAGTATTCCAAGGTTCACAAGTTGTGGTGCTGAAATGAAATACCAGTGTATTTATTCTGAACTAGTACAAAATGATGACCCACTTCTCCAAGAATGGTTGTTAATTGTGTATGTGCTTCTACTCACCTAAGCACTCAGTTGTCTTTACTAAATCATCCTGAATGCAAGAACCCTGAGTGTGCAAAAAGGTCATAGCTAGTGACAGCATGATCTGAACAAGCTCTGGTATAAATCATAGTGAGGGCCACCAGAGAGCTGGCAAGGACCCTCGTGTGCTCCATGTCATTTGTTTCTGCTCCGTGTTTGGGGGCCTGAAATGCATGTCCTTCACCCATATATTCACCTTTGTCAATGACAGTGAACCAGTGACAGCTTCCTGAATGCAGCCTGCAGTGCCTCTATCATCCGGCTTTCCCCAGCTGCTATTTGAATTGCTCATCCACCATAAAGAGGAAGGACAATCTACAAAGGAACCTCAAGGAGGATAGTACAGTAAAAGTACATTTCCAACCATTGTACTCTGAACATGAAATGTCACATAAATTACTACCAGTGACAAATGGGTATTTTAGAAAACAGAAACTTGGCATTAGGCATGGAGATTTTTCTTCTGGACACTATTACTAATTACCAGACTGAGGAAGTAATATAATGCTTCAGAAAGTTCATGGAAAATTATATTGAAATTTGCTGTGTTGCAAAATGCTTACATATACACACACTACATTAGAGGTGGGGGTGGGGAGGGAGCACTCCCATCTGCTAGTTGAATCCTCAGGAATCGGAAAGAGCTGAAAACTCAGTCCAGGTCTCCCACGTTGGACGGCTGGAACCCAATTACTTGAGCTTTTATTGCTGCCTCCCAGGGACCCCCTTAGGAGTTAACTGGAGTCAGGACCCAGAGCCACATATCAAACCCAAATATTCCAATGTGCAATGCAGGCATCTTAGACACTAGGGTAATAAATGCCTGCCTCCCTCCCTCTCAGATTTTGAAATCATATATGCAAAAAGTCTTTTAAAGTTCCCTGAAAAATAGGCATCATGGATTTGAATTTTTGTACCCAAATAAATTTGTCTTTCATTTCCATTTTCCATGAATTTTTTAAGGTATTTCATATAATGCAGTGCTAAATAAACACCTCTGGAGCTAGCCTGCTTGGCTCAAATCCCAGCTCTGTCACTTGCAAGCCTTGGAAAGTTTCTGTGGGTCAGGTTCCTTGTCTGCAAAATAGAGATGATAATAGCACCTCTCTTGTGGTGTTGATGGTAATACATGGAAAACTTTTACTATGCATGTGTAGTCAGCGCTCAAAGAGCATCTCTTAGGATTAGTGTCCCACTATAAGGTGGGAAGCCAGCTTTCATTATCATGTGAATTGTCATAATAGTCTATTCTCACAGAAGAAATCTGGATGGCTGTGAATGTTCACAATGTGAAGGGTTAGAGAAAGAATTCAATAGAAAAAAATGTGAACTATAATTTGGACCAGAAAAGTCCTAAAAAAAAAAAAAAAAAGATAGACATGGCTACTTGGTCTCTTTGTTAAAGACCAACCATAAAAGGGGAGGATACTTGGAAGCCACTGTTCTGGAATTTCACTTTGAGCCATGTCTCTGGCAGCCCCATCCAGGAAGTCAGTAAGAATAGCTAACCTTTTGTATTTAAAAGGAGAATTTTTAGCCTAAGGTTAATTTTGTAAGCTAAAGAATGCTGAGTGCTAGAATTCTGACCAGATAGGTCAGGACAAGTTAGTTCTTAAAGAAAAACTAAAGATGTCCTGGAATGAACATAAAAGTGTATAGATCAACAAAGCTATAGAAGTGCCAAAGAAAGGGTTTTAGTAAAATAAAATGCTTCCACATTTTTCTAAACCATAAAATATAGTGCTAGTTGTACCTAGGTCTACATGGAGACATTGGTGTTTCTTATCAGAGTCACTGAAAGCATTTACATGATTCAATTTGAGATGATCTTTTGATCCTGTCCTAAGGCTTTATAATTGATGAAATATTGACCTGCCTTAATCATAGACATTGGGAACTTAGAAGACTGACAGTTAACAAAGTGAAAGAGTCAAAGAATTGTTTTATGGTAGGCACTGACTGATGAAGATCACTCGTAACAAATGTCCCAGGGATAGTCAGCATGTCTCTGGAAGCCCTTGGAAGAATGAATGGCTTAAACTTGTCATATTTTAAAGTACTCTTTTAATAAATAAGTTTCAAAAAACAAAGTAGGTCCTGAATCCTTACAGATGTGTAGGTGACCCTGCAGTTACAGCTCTGAGTGTCACTGTTTGGAAAACACTCTGCTTCCTGTCTTCCCCTCTTTCCATCTGGCCTTAAAGTCTGTTTATGGAACCAAGCAATGAATTCATCTTTTCTCCAGGTCCAATTATTGTAGGACTTTAGAGACCGCAGCAGTCATAGTCCTCTGATAAGATTCCACCTCAATCTTGTGCCATTCAAGCTTGAAATCTGATTTATTTTCTCAAGCTGATGCATTTAGTTTGCTAATCATGGATTTTGACTTAATTGATCTAATTCTGTAGTTCAGTCAAGATTTTACTATAGTATGTAGGTTCTTTTTCTTAGTTAACCTGTTTATAAACCTTCAGTCAGGATTTTACTGTAGTATGTCACATTTTTTTTCTCCGTTAACCTGTTCATAAACCGAAGTTTACCCTATCTCATATGTTAGCCACTGCTTTTATTTTCTAGAGATCCACTATAGATCCTGTTTCCTAAATTGCTGTTAAAAATAAACCTCTTCTGAGATGGGGTGACTGACAGAGCAAATTTAATTCGAAGCATGTATAACACAGACAGTCTGTCCCATAATTAACATCTGTTCACCAAAATGTCCCTGGATGTTGGACTAGTTTTATTAAAGTGTTCTTTTGATAAAGCTGTTCTGTTACTAAAGTCTAGAAATAAGTAAATGTTTTGGTCTTAAAATAAAATTCAAGCATTTGGTAAAAATTATTTCGCAGCTACAAGCATTGGGTTCATATGTTAGTAACTGGAATTATTTATTGAATAGCATTTTAAAAAATAAATTAACTATTTTATTAATAATAAATTAGTTTTTAATTTGTTATTTTTAAATTATTTTTTATTTATTAATTTATTATTAAATTAATAAAATAGTCAATTTATTTTTAAGGCACAGTGATACATAGAGAAAAGGAGAGACAGAAATAAAAAGTTCCCCAGAATTTTTCCAAACTGAGAAATGATGATTTTTGTCACACGGCACAAAGCCTGGAGAAGAATCACAAGGGTAGGGAGGTGAGTCTTGCTTGGTGGTATATCAGGCCAATCCTCTGACTATAGTGCCAGCATCCCTTATGGACACTTGTTTTAGTGGATATGGAACTCATCCCCTTCTATATGCCACAACTAAGGTGACATGTCAAGAGCTGAGGGAAGGGCATCCTCACAGCTGAGGAGCCAGTCCCATCATGGAGACTCTGAGACAGATCCCAACCAAACTGGGTGCTTCTAACCCCATGTTTACCAGGGGGATGCCATATCAGGATACTGAACTATTTGCGACACAACAGAAGCCAGGGTTACACTAATTTCTGTTTAGCTTCCTCTCCAGTCCCAGCAACCCCCATCCTACAGCTGGAGGAGTGTTGCACCCACAACAACAGCGCCACGCTGTCCTGGAAACAGCCGCCTCTGTCCACGGTGCCTGCTGAAGGATACATCCTGGAACTGGACGATGGCAGCGGTGGTCAGTTCCGGGTAAGTCAAGAACCTGTGCTTCATTAGGCAAAACCAGTGATTCTCTTGGGAGGTTGTGCCTTGGAAGCTGGCCTCGCTTTCTGATATTTCATGGGCATGGGCCATCTTGGCAGGCCCTACCTCCTCTTTGGCTAAAGGTCTGCTTTGTCCTTGGGCCATCAGAGGTGTCTCTACTGATGTGTCGTATTCTTCTTACAGACAGTAGAAGCAGCACTGCAAACTCTAGATTTATACTGCCTTAGCTCTAATTAGGTAGCCTCCACTTTGCTGGGTGACGGGGTCTGCTTCTTACTTCTTTGAAGGGACATGATAACAATAACCTGAATCTTCTTAGAAATTTATGATCTGTGTGCATGGCTGCTTGTCTCTACATATCTGCTTCTCAGGTACCCTGCCTAATTCTTATCCATCCTCTCTTCCCACACTGCCTTCCACCTTCACTGCCCCAGTTTTGCCTGAGTTTGTCTCTCTTGTGAGCATTGATGTTTGAGAGCTCTAGAAAGAGGAACAGCCTTTCTTTGTCATGAGCCATTCCCCACACAGAGACCAAGTCCCTGAAGACCAGCCTGCTCCCAACTGTCAGTGCCCATCCCTAGACACTGGCTTTCAAGGCCTATCCAGCCTCCTTTTCCTGAATATGTCTTTGGCTTTCCACAGAACTTGAATCCTAAGATCAGAAACCACATCCTATACAGTTTTCTGTTTTGATGGGAAAGCTTTATTTACATAGGTGTCAATTTATTGGCATGATAAAATCAGGTTAATTCCTCTGCAAGATACATATCTCGGGTTCCATTTATGTTTGTGTCTTTTGTACTATGTGTGTATGTGGGTGTGGGTAGAGTGAGCATGTGTGGGTGTGTGTAAAGACCTGTGTCAGTTTCTCATCCATGACTTTGCCTTTTTAAACTGGTTTCATTTTCAAGGCCTTTCTTTTTTCATAATTATTATTATTTTGGCTGGAAAACATTCTCCTGACTTTCATAGTTCTCTAAATAAATTATCTCAATTCCTATCTAGGGGAGTGTCTCATACTTTAGCCAGAGTTCAGTCCCCCTCCCTTACTGTCCAATGACATCCTGCTCTTTCCCCTTGCCTCCACCTGCATGCTAACCATTTTCTAGTCCAGTTCTCTAACCCATACTTCTCCTCTAAGAGTTTGGCCTAGAAATGCCTTGAAGCTTTCTTATACTCAATGTTCTTTCAAATAAGCCTGCCATTTTCTTTTATAACCTAGTCCTGTTCTTTCTACATCCCTACTTGTCCTTACTTTAATATCAAACTCAGACTCTTAGCACCATCTGCCTACCCCTTCCTATAGGAGCCACAGTTAAACACTGATGAAGTCCTTGAATCCTACTTCTAGTGAACAGGGCTTTCTTATCTGGATCCCTTCCTCTTATTCCACAGGCTACCCCAGCGTACTCCCAGCCTATCCCTTCAGGTTATTCCTTGCTGTACCACTCAAAGAGCAGTCCTCCCCAACATGAGAACTTATTAAAAATATGAACTCTCAGACCACCACCCCAGGAACCTTTTGGAAGAGAAAACAAATTTTAACAAGATCCTCAGATGATTCATATGCAACCAAAGATTGAGAAGAGGCCTGAATAAAAGGGTGTGATATTTAAATTTGTGTTACTGCTGAAATAGTAAGGAATGGATGGGCAACCCAAGACTCCAGTCTTCTATTAAAAATTTGTCACTTTAAGACTGTGCTTTGAATGCAAATCATTTCTAGTCATTACATCAGCATAAATTTTACAAAGTGTACAGCTAAAGAGGGAAGTAAATGCCTAACCTATGCTAAAGATGCGTTATGCTCAGATTTATTTTAAGCCTTTGAAATGTCAGTCTTGCTTTCTTCCCGATTTCCTCCCCCCTTCCCTCTGTACTGTGAAGGAAACCTACGCCCCTATGACTTGGAGTGTAATCTTTGTGATGGTACCTAAATATTTCAACAGAGTTGTCAGTGCACATAAAGATCACCTTTCTTTTCATGCATGTATTTTAGAAACCATAGCAATGGATAGTAGGTATAATGTCCTTTACAAATACCAAGTTGCTGTTAGTAAGCATAATCCTAACTATAAGAATCCAATTTTAATTTTTTAAGCCCCAGCTGCCAATAATTTTCACTCATTAAGCTGCAAGGTTCATGCTAAACTTGAGGCACCAGGCTATATACACATATAACATTATGTAATCCTCATATCAACTTCATAAGGTGCCCTCATTTTGCAGATTGGGAGATTGAAGTTTAAAAGGTAAATTCTGTGATCCCATATCTCACAGGATTCATATCTATGTCAGGCTAATGCCAAAACTGTTGCTTCTAACTTAGCCATATTGCACCCCCCTTACTCCTCAACTGAGTTTATTTGAAATGGGTTCTGCTACTTTTTGACCCTCAGGAAGTGTATGTGGGAAAGGAGACAATGTGCACCGTGGATGGGCTTCACTTCAACAGCACATACAATGCTCGGGTCAAGGCCTTCAACAAAACAGGAGTGAGCCCCTACAGCAAGACCCTGGTCCTGCAGACGTCCGAGGGTAAGGCCCTTCAGCAGTATCCCTCAGAGCGAGAACTGCGTGGCATCTAAAATGGCTGGCAAGCCCGGAGGTAACCCCAGCAGTGCCCACATTCCTGAAGTGTTTCCATGACTTACTCTGCATTCTGGCACGGAGCTGCCATTCCTCTCCCACCTTTAGAGAGCCCATGGGATGTGGATGTGACCAAACCAAAGCTTCCACATCGACAGTTCCAATGGCTTGGGCCGGCGGCTTGCTTTGGTAACATTCTAAATAAGCTACAATTGAAGAAGCTGAACAATGAAGGCCTGAATTTGTCCCCGGTGTCTAAGACGAATGTATTTAGGCTCTAGAGCAGGTTCCCATTCTCCACCGACATACATCACTTGCCAGTTTTTCCCAGATGATTCTATAACTCTGTAGCACATGCTTGTGCCTGGGAGTGGGGCCTAGGTTCTTTGCAGCTGTGGATTTGTGTGACTAAATGTGTTGCAAGTGGGTGAGGGGTGCTAGAGCTGATCAGAGAGGGCAAGGCAGCCACTCATGCGTGAAACAGCGTGGACTGCATCCATTCCGTATCCCAAGCTGAGGCTGCTGGCACCGGGACTGAAATTTCCTGTGGGCAGCAGCAGGAAAAAGCCAGCAACTCATTGTCTTGTCATTTTACCTGTGGCAGTCCCCTTAGTCTAGGGGAGGCTGGTTAGGACCACTGTACAAGGTTACTCTCTAGAGAACTTTTGCTTCTTGTCTATACTGTGAATGTTTTGGCCATCAAAGATGACTAATCCATCTCAGATGAAATGCTTGAGTTTGATGGCCAAGTATAACCCTCTAATGCTTTTGGCATTTTCATTTTGAGAGTAATGGCACCAAGGAAATTAAACTTAGGAAGAGACATTTATGCTGGTGCCAAAGCATTTTGAGACCTTGAGGGTGTCATTTTAATCAGAGAAATCATACCCCCACTGGCATTCTGTAGAACATCCTTCTACAGAACTAATTATGGTGATTTTGTTCAAGATGTTAGGTACAAGAACTGGGATGGTGTCTTGTGCTTCCCACAAACCTCGACATATGCCAGTCACCCCTGAAAATGGTTCACATGGTTAAAAAAAAAAAGCACAATTTCAAATACCATGGCAAGGGCAAAGGACCCTTGGCCATGAAGATGATGCTTTGAGGAGTGGTTGTTGGTCTAAGACAGATGTTACTCCAAGAGAAACCTTTGTTAAAGGGAAAATGCCTGCATGCCCTAACCTCTTTGGATGAAGTGACACTGTAGCTGGACTTCCCCTAGCATAGTCATTTGAACAACTGTTCTCTGGAGTGACCTATGCTTTTAAGAATAAGTTTCTTCTTTCCTAAAAACACCATGCTAAGTGCTGAAGCCCTCTAAGAGGTTTTCCTAGGTGCCATGCTGAAGCTATTTGATGGTGATGGCCTCATTTCCCATGTGTGTACAAGGTTTGATTGAGGAGTAAAGTGCATGCCCACAGAGCAGAGAGGAAGCCACAGCCATGTTGCTAATACTGTGCCATCAGACCAGCGGGAAAACAGTTTCTATCCATAATACATCGTAAGAATCGTGCTATTCCGCTAAGATCACTTACTAGCATAGCAGCCTGAGTGCTTAGGATGTAGTCTCTCAGTTTCTTTCATGTTCATAAGATTATGGTGTTTAATTTAATAAATTGCAGGATTGGAACTGCGATCCCTGGTACCACAGTCACAGAATTGGGGGTCATTTTCTAAATGAAACTAATGGAACAAGTTTTCTTCCAACAAAGAAACTGTACTGTAGAAATTAATTTCTTCCATGAATTTTATATATTGTGTACAAATGTAAGGTATGTATCCAATACAAAGAAAACTCATCATGTAGATATCAGTATTCTCTGTTACTGCACAGAAATGATTTTCTCATGATGAAATAAAGTTCACATACATACTTTCTCCATAACCTTGGTTTGTTCTATTTGTTTCTCCCTCATTCTAATTTATACAGTGAGACAAGATTTAGAAAGCAAGAAAATATATAGCAAATAATTTATTTTTGAAATGAAAGATTTTATTATGTCGTAATGATAGAGAAACACCTATAAAATTAAAATAATTATATCCCTTTTTGTTTTGTAGAACTCAGTGAGACAAAGCTATTCACAGAATTTTGATATATTCACTGCAGTTTTATTTTATTAATCTTGTTTTCTACAGTTCCTGGAAAGGTTTGCTTTAGAGATTCTTGCTTTTTGCTGATCTTGGGGGTTTGGAGGGGTGGTTTGTTTTGGCTCTTTACTATAATGAAATCCTTCATGTTCTTAGTTAACCATTTACCAAAGTTCAAGACAAAATGTATCACAGAAAGGTATAATTTCATATGTGATGGCAAGTCTAACTTACTACCAGCATGCTGTCTGAGATTTAAATCACGCATTACATATATTCTTTTGGAACCATCACAAAACCTTCGGATGACTTAAAGTTGATGTAATGTAAGTGATATTATAGATTTCAGAAATCTATGGTTTGAACTGTAATTTTTTTTAAACAGATATCTCTCCCTGGCTCTCTCTCTCTCTTTCTCTCTGTCTCAGACAGTGCTTGATAAGTAGCTACTGAGTGCTGTCCTGGGAGTACAGAGAAGAGCTACGACCTTGCCACCATGGAGCTCACAGCCTGAGAAGAGAGACAGGCCTTACACAATGACCTCCTAACAAATTGCAGTAAAACACTGTGAACACAGAAAAAAGGACCGCAGAAAGACACGATTTTGATAAATTTGGTCAAGAAAACAATGAAAGTCAATATAATCTAAAGGAAATGATAAAGAATGTGTCATTAGAAGAGAAAAGGAAAGGAAATCCCATTACTATAGGAGTTCAAGTTGGATAGTTACTTGTAACTGAAGTTCTTGGAGATAGATATATCTAAGGCAATCATGCACACAAGGCCATCTGTAAAATTACCCTTAGAAATAAATATAACTGTAAGCAGTTAGAATTTTCAGTGTCTTTAAAAAATAAGGCTCACGAACGTAACACTGTATATCAGAGTAATTCACTGAATGGCCATCATGGCTGCGTCCCCATCTTTGAAACCATCTGCAGAAGAGATGGTTCTTTCAGAAACATTCTGTAAGAATGCATTTTGATACATGGAGTTTTGAGACTCATTCTGTGTGACTGACTGACTACCAAAAAAAAAAAAAAAAAAAAAAAAAAAGAAAGAAAACCTAAGGCTAACACGATAAGAAACATTCTGCTTGTATTTTCCAACTTCCCTCTAAGTAAAGTGTAGTGCATTTTGTTTTCAATCTGGAGACATGAAATCAAGTAAAGGCAGTGTTCCTGGATCTGAAATAGCTCACTGAGGTCCTGTACCCCTTGGGGCCCTCCCTGGGCTGGGACAGTGGCTGTGGGCAGCCTGCATAGCAGAGGTGCGGCACCTACTCACCACACGTCCAAAGGAAGCAGAACATGCAGATTTGCAATCTTTTTAGCACAGTTCACTGTGTAAAAGGATTATTTCCCTTGGGAAGATTCTTAGACATGGAATTACTAGGCCAAAGAGGACTAATGTTTTTAAGTCCTTTGATTAGTGTTCCCAGTTGGTTTCCAGCTAGATTTTGACCCCGGGAATGAATGTGTCATTCCATTTCATCACCTTAACTCCGTCACTCATTTTAATTTCAACTAGCAAGTAGGCTCTTCCAAAGATGAACATGTTGCTAAAAGAGTCTATTTATTTTATATTTTTAGAATTATCATTCTTGCCTTTTAATGTTTACTAGTTACATGATACAAATTAAAGAATATTTATAGGAAAAAAATGAATGTGACCTGGTGAGCAGAAGGAGTTCCCAAAGAAGGTGAGATCCAAACAGAGGGCAGAACTATATGAAAGACAAATGTGAATCAAAAACCACAAACCTAGCTCGAGCTTATAGTGAGAAGAAATTAATGACTCCAGTGCATCAACTGAGCACCTCAGTTAGGTCAGTCACTGATTTAGGACTGCCTGAAGCATAGCTTCCTCCCCTAGGATTTAGGGAAGCTCATTTTCCTCTTTCTTAAATTTCCCTGCACCCTCTTAAAATCCGCTAAAAATCATGGATCCCACCCTGTAGTCCAGATTGTCAGTTTACAGCCTGGAAGTAAGAACAATGGACTCTGGCTGGTACAAAAATAAAAGACACAAAATGCAGGCACAGACGCCCCCAGCTCATCCCAGAGCAGAACTCTCGGGTCTCACTCAGTTATGCAAGTCCCACAGAGCTCACTGACTTGTTTGCAAAAACTGTTGCAGACTGAAATTGTTAAAGAAGTGAGCTGAGGTTGTTGGTGGCACTGACCATGGAAGGTAACTAGAAATACTGAGAGAAGACCTCCAAGAAACCAAGTTAGCAGTCTGTGGCAAATGATCTTAGTAAAGAAGTCAGAAAGCATATATCCTATCAGGAAAAGGCTTCCATCCAAAACATTTAATTCATTGCATGCTCTAGAACCCATGGTGTGGAAAGTCAGGTATATCTCAAAAGGTGTATGGAATCCCAATTGAAATAAGCACCCCCTCAAAAAAAAAAATAAACTATTAGATCAAATCCTTGATCAAGCTAATGAGAACTTTCTTCATTACCTGTCAAAAGAATCCATGAAAACTGATAGTTTTAGGATACTGAAACCCATGTTTCAGGGTAAGTTCTGTCCACCCTGACATTTATAGAGATACAGAGTACACCCCTATACTCTGCCGTATCTAAAACTCTCTCCTGCTCTTGTTCTACAGCAGACATCAGTTTCCTACTACTGCTGGGACAGATGACCACCAACATGGTCAGAATCCTAAGTGGAATGCAGTGCCCTAGTATCAGCAGGTTAGGTTTCTTTCAGGAGTTGCTGGGGGGATATTCTCTGTCTTGGCTTTCCCAGTTTCTAAGAAACATATTCCTTGGCTTGTGGTACCTTCCTGTATCTTCAAAGTCAGCAGCCTAGCATCTCCCAATCACTTTCTGGCTCTGATAC